TACTAGTACTACTTATACAACTGCTACTACCACCACTACTAGTACTACTTATACAACAACTACTACTACTACTACTTATACTACTACCACCACTACTAGTACTACTTATACAACTACTACTACCACCACTACTACTCATACCACTACTTATACAACTACCACCACTACTAGTATTTATACAACTACTACTACTACCACTACTAGTACTACTCATACAACTACCTCTACTTATACAACTACTACTACCACCACTACTACTACTACCACTACTAGTACTACTCATACAACTACCTCTACTTATACAACTACTACTACCACCACTACTACTACTTATACAACTACTACTACTACCACTACTAGTACTACTCATACAACTACTACTACCTCTACTTATACAACTACTACTACCACCACTACTAGTACTACTTATACAACTACTACTACTTTACTACCACCACTACTACTACTACTACTAAACTAAACCAGGTCTAAAACCAGGACTAAACCAGGTCTAAACCAGGTCTAAACCAGGACTAAACTATGAGGTCTTCTAACATGGGTGAGTGTAAAGAAGTGGAGAGCGCAGCAGTGTTTAAAAAGTTTATTGTGATCGCGTCCTGTTCCCTTTAAAAACAGCACAAAAGTCAGAGGTAGAAATCATTTCTCACTCACACACATTTTCATTCAAACTTTTTTTTTTCTTTTTTTGTAAATGTAAATCCTTTAACAAGACTATTCTATTACCAGTATTTCATTGACACGTTATGACAAGTCAAGATTAAAAACGCACTGTGGAACTTTTCTGATGGAGGGTTTACAACATGCTTTAGTCTAAACCAGGACTAAACCAGGTCTAAACCAGGATTAAACCAAGTCTAAACCAGGACTAAAGACAGGACTAAAGCCAGGTCTAAAGCCAGGACTAAACCAAGTCTAAACCAGGACTTAAACCAGGTCTAAACCAAGTCTAAACCAGGATTTAAACAGGTCTCAAACCAGGACTACACCAACTCTAAACCAGGTCTAAAACCAGGACTAAACCAGGACTAAACCAGGTCTAAACCAAGTCTAAACCAGGATTAAAACCAGGTCTAAACCAGGACTAAAGACAGGACTAAAGCCAGGTCTAAAGCCAGGACTAAACCAGGACTAAAGCCAGGACTAAACCAAGTCTAAACCAGGACTCAAACCAGGTCTAAACCAAGTCTAAACCAGGATTAAAACAGGTCTCAATCCAGGACTACACCAAGTCTAAACCAGGACTAAAACCAGGTCTAAAACCAGGACTAAACCAGGACTAAACCAGGTCTAAACCAAGTCTAAAACCAGGTCTATTCCAAGTCTAAACCAGGACTAAAGCCAGGACTAAACCAGGATTGAACCAAGTCTAAACCAGGACTAAAGCCAGGTCTAAAGTCAGGTCTAAAGCCAGGACTAAACCAGGACTAAACCAAGTCTAAACCAGGACTTAAACCAGGTCTAAAACCAGGACTAAACCAAGACTAAACCAGGTCTAAACCAAGTCTAAACCAAGTTTAAACCAGGATTAAAACCAGGTCTAAAACCAGGACTAAAACCAGGTCTAAAACCGCCGGGACTAAAAACAACATGCTTTTCTCCACAAATTCTGGTTAACACTTTGCCTGAAATGTTCCACAGTGGGGCATTTTAAGTATTTCATGTATCTCCAAGACCACAACCAGGTCCCAGGCCCAGTTACAGGTCAGATCTGTGGAGAGGCGACCCCACTCAGAGTAAGAATCCATTTTTTGTCAAGGTATTTTTAAAGCAAATCACACCCATAATTGAATATAACACAAGAGAGATCAGTTTAATGCTTCACTGTGGAACATTCAAGCAAATATTTATCATCTCCATGGAAACAAGCAGGGGCCCCCCCATAGGAAAAGTGCTGTAGTGCCGTTTTAATGCCAGACTGATAAATAAATATTAGAGAAACATTGTTATGGCTGTATTAGTAACTTGGCCAACCTGAACCTGTGGTATCTTAGGATTTTGTTGTCCTATTCAGAAAACAGTTCAGTAAAAACAAAGATGACACTGACATTTCAAAGTAGCATGTTTGTTTTACAGAGGTGCATGTTGATGAATTAAATTGAAGGAAGAAATGTGTAGCTTGAATGAAAAAGTAAAATTCAGTCCTTAAAGTGTAAACTATGTTAAAGGCCCTTGTTATATGAGACAAAATGGAGCTTTAAGTCATGTTCAAATGTGGTTTCTTCATCAAAAACAAACCTGGAGTTGTGTTTGAGTAACTCGTAATTATTAGTTGCTCTTCATCTCCAAAGCTCAAAATGCTCTGTTCCACCTTGTGATGTCATGAAGTGGTACTTTTCAAATGAACAGCTCCTTTTAACTTCAGTTCAGTAGAGACTGGAAATACAGCACTGGCAGTTTTAGCTTGATGCACTTTTATTCACTTTTTTTTTTTTTTTTTTTTTTTTTTAAACCTGTAGCAGTTTGAGATTATTTTATGTAAAGTGCAATATAAATAAAAATATTATTAAATTATTTACTTCAAAATATTTATTTAAATATTTATTTATTTTTATTTATGTATTATTTATTATTATTATTACGTAATGAATTATCCATCCATCCATCCATTTTCGTCCGCTTATCCGGGGCCGGGTCGCGGGGGGAGCAGCCTAAGCAGGGACTCCCAGACTTCCTTCACCCCAGACACGTCCTCCAGCTCCTCCGGGGGGACCCCGAGGCGTTCCCAGACCAGCCGAGAGACATAGTCCCTCCAGCGTGTCCTGGGTCTTCCCCGGGGCCTCCTCCCGGTGGGACATGCCCGGAACACCTCCCGAGGGAGGCGCCCAGGAGGCATCCGGAACAGATGCCCGAGCCACCTCAACTGGCTCCTCTCGACGTGGAGGAGCAGCGGCTCTACTCCGAGCTCCTCCCGTGTGACTGAGCTCCTCACCCTGTCTCTAAGGGAGCGCCCAGCCACCCTGCGGAGGAAACTCATTTCGAGCGCTTGTATCCGCGATCTCGTCCTTTCGGTCACTACCCAGAGCTCATGACCATAGATTAATGAATTAATCCTGGTTAAATCCTGTTTTAGTCTTGTATAATAATAATAATAATAATAATAATAATGTTAATAATAATAATAAATTATTATTATTATTATTATTAATTTATAAATTAATTTGTTTTTTTTATTATCATCATTATTATACAAGGTCTGAAATGCATCCAAAATGATTCTCATGAAAGTGTGTGGAGTTTAAAAACACAGTGGAGCACTCTGTATTACCACATGACATCACAAGGTGGAACAGACTGTTTTCGGTTTGAGAGGAGAACTAAATATAGTCTAAATCTGCAGGGTTTGTGTGTTAAAACCAGGGTTCCCACGGTCATTGAAATCCTAAAAAAAAGTTATTGAAATTGAAAATGTCACTTTCCGGGCCCCGAAAAGTCATGGAATTTTAGTATCTCTTTCTACAACTACAGTGTTCTGTTAAATTCTCATCAGACTATTCTGCTTATTTCTGAACGTCTCCCCCTTTTGTTTTAAAGAGACGCCAATAAATGCACTGACAGGATTTTGGATGTTAAAAAACAATAATCCCAAACCATAAGGTGAGTGGAAAGGTTTACGTTTCATATTTAGCTCTGAAAGTTTGAAGACTGCGCCACCTACAGGCCAGGACCACCAGACTACTTAGATCAGTTCTGTCAGAAAGTCCGGACACTAATGCACCTTACAAAACCGCACTGACTTGGAACTCACTTTCAAAAATAGGGACGGGTGGGGGTTTTTAAAAACTCTATTTGACATACAATATTTTAAACAATTTATTTTTGTTTGTTTCATGTTTCATTTCCTTTTATTTATTTATTTTTATACTGAAATGACAAATAAACTCTGATTCTGAACCCATAAAGTGCCGTAAAGTCATGGAAAATTCACTTTAGGTCTTGAAAACGTCAGGGAAAAGTTTTGAAATCTCATCAAAGCCTGTAAAAAAAACCCTGTAAAATGTAAATATTAAACTCCAGGTCTGTTTTTGTGATGAGGAAACTGCATTATAACATAGATAACAATGTAATATAGGCCCTTGAGCTTGTAATTCATTTAAATAATTACTAATACTTATTCAGTCAATATTATAACATCCACCATTGGATAATTTATTGACTGCACCCAGAGAACTCTATTGTAAATTATTATTATTATTAAGTGCTGGTGGTGTAAACTTGGCTAAAAACAGGTGAGTGAAATGAACCAAACATCAGAACAAAAGCCCCGTTTGTTTTGTTATTTTTGAGTATTAAATGTAACTTCTTGAACAATGCGGTCAGTGAAATACACGTATTATCAGGTACGGGCAGGAGAAGAGGACACGCAAAAAGTATTTAACCGTCTTTAAACATTTTTCAAAGTCTTGTAAACGTCATAAAATATTGCTTGTACGTGTGAATACTGAAGGTGAATCACACACCTTAAAAATATGACGGAGTTAAGTTTGTCGGCTTGATTAAATAGGTTGTGTTCACAGATTTTTTTATATTTTTGTGTTATTTTTTAAGAGGGAGAGCTAATAAAAATTCTAAAGTCTAAAAATTTTATTTAAAAATGCACTGAAAATCCAGAAATTTGGCGAGAAAATCAAACGGTTTCACAAAATTGGCTTAAATTTTGTGTCAGTTTTTGTTTCATGTGGATAGGCCCAGCAGTTACACTTCAAAAATAACCCACAGTGTTACTTTACAACGTCTAGAACAGTGTCCCCAACCTTTTTAGAGCCACGGACCAGTTTTATGTCCGATAATACTTCACGGACCGGGGCACCGCGGGGGTGCAGGCAGCGTGGCATGGTTTAGTCCTGGTTTAGTCCTGGTTTAGTCCTGGTTTAGTCCTGGTTTAGTCCTGGTTTAGTCCTGGTTTAGTCCTGGCTTAGTCCTGGTTTGGTTTAGTCCTGGTTTTAGTCCTGGTTTAGTCCTGTTTAGTCCTGGTTTCCTGGTTTAGTCCTGGTTTAGTCCTGGTTTAGTCCTGGTTTAGTCCTGGTTTTAGTCCTGGTTTATTCCTTGTTCAGACCTGGTTTAGTCCTGGTTTTAGTCCTGGTTTTTAGAGCTGGTTTAGAGTTGGTTTAGACCTGGTTTAGACCTGGATTAGACCTAGTTTACTCCTAGTTTATTCCTTGTTCAGACCTGGTTTAGACCTAGTTTTAGTCCTGATTTTAGTTCTGGTTTTAGAGCTGGTTTAGAGCTGGTTTAGTCCTGGTTTAGTCCTGGTTTTAGTCCTGGTTTTTTTTTTAGAGCTGGTTTAGAGTTGGTTTAGAGTTGGTTTAGACCTGGTTTAGACCTGGTTTAGACCTGGATTAGACCTGGATTAGACCTAGTTTACTCCTAGTTTATTCCGTGTTCAGACCTGGTTTAGACCTAGTTTTAGTCCTGATTTTAGTTCTGGTTTTAGAGCTGGTTTAGAGCTGGTTTAGACCTGGTTTAGACCTGGATTAGACCTAGTTTACTCCTATCTTATTCCGTGTTCAGACCTGGTTTAGACCTAGTTTTATTCCTGATTTTAGTTCTGGTTTTAGAGCTGGTTTAGAGCTGGTTTAGACCTGGTTTAGACCTGGTTTTAGACCTGGTTTTAGTCCTGGTTTAGACCTAGTTTTAGTCCTGGTTTTAGTCCTGGTTTTAGACCTGGTTTAGAGCTGGTTTAGACCTGGTTTAGACCTGGTTTTAGTCCTGGTTTTACCTGGTTTTAGACCTGGTTTTAGACCTGGTTTTAGACCTGGTTTAGACCTGGTTTTAGACTTTTAGACCTGGTTTTAGACCTGGTTTAGTTTTACTGGTTTAGAGCTGGTTTAGACCTGGTTTAGACCTGGTTTTAGTCCTGGTTTTAGTCCTGGTTTTAGACCTGGTTTTAGACCTGTTTTAGACCTGGTTTTAGACCTGGTTTTACCTGGTTTTAGACCTGGTTTTAGACCTGGTTTTAGACATGGTTTTAGACATGGTTTAGAGATGCGTATGGGAGGTCCGCGGCTCGTGGGGTTGGGGACCCCTGGTCTAGAAACGTCTCATAATGTTTGAACTTTTAGTCACACAAAGCTGTTGAGTCGTGATGTGAAGGATAAAGAACCGTTACTTAACTCAACTGGATCTTGTTTAATACTTAAACCGTGTTTTAAGGAAATAAGCGACATTTCTTATTCCTACACAGTTATCGGTTTATATCGAGTATCGGTTAAGTCAAAATATCGGTATCAGAGCTGAAAAAGCTGGAGTGATTCATCCCTAATCACATTCTGACGTGGCATGAACCAGAGGTGGGACCAAGTCGTCGTTTTGCAAGTCTCAAGTCCGAGTCAAGTCCCAAGTCAAATACAGACAAGTCCAAGTCAACTCTCGAGTCACTGGCCCGTAAGTCCAAGTCAAGTCCAAGTCGTCTGCTTTGAGCTTCAAGTCATTTCAAGTCTTTAAACCAAAAACAAATATAGCTTTGATTTTTGCAATTTATATGAATTTTAAGATAAATTGTACATATAAAAATCACAGTATTTGATTATATTTGAGTTGTAGAAATGCATTTTTTTTCCTTTTTAAATGTCTTGACACGATCTTAGAGTGAATCATTTTGGTCAGAATAGAAAAAGTTCAGATTTAAAAGTGCTTCTCAAGTCTCACGTCACAGGCCTCAAAGTCCGAGTCGAGTCCCAAAGTCTTAGTCCATTTTATCAAGTCAAGTCTCAAGTCCTAAAAGTCTCCACCTCTGCCATGAACACAACCCATCCATATTTTTCAGAATTATTAAAAAGTAGGACCGTTGTCGTAACGATTAACAACAAAATATCTTTTCTTTTGAAGGATTAAAATGTTACCTGTACATGGGAACACATTCCTTGGCTCATCTCCTTGGCTTCGTTTCGCTTTTCGCCTGCAGTACCCGATAATACAAGTCCCTCCTTCTGTGTGTGTGTGTGTGTGTGTGTGTGGCGGTTGTGCGTGTTATTTGACCCAGGACAGGTTGAGGCAGCGGGCGATGAAGGCGTACGTGTCGGCGACCTCCTGGATGACCTTGCTGGTGGGCTTTCCCGCCCCGTGGCCAGACTTGGTGTCCACCAGGATGAAGAGGGGCTTGCTCTGCTGCGGGCTGCGACCCACCACGTGCTGCAGCGTGGCCATGTACTTGAGCGAGTGGAGCGGCACCACGCGGTCGTCGTGGTCGCCCGTGAGGAGCAGCACGGCCGGGTACTGCGCGCCGCTGCCCTCTGGCACGTGGATGTTGTGGAGGGGGGAGTATCTGCGGAGGGAGGAGGCACAGAGGGGGAACAGTGTAATGATGCAGAGTCAGAGCCAGTCAAGTGTTTTAGGCATTATTTATAAACCTTCAAACGCTGAAATTTTATGATTTAGTCGACCTTTACACTCTTAAAATCATGTTCAAAGTAAACAACAATCTCCTGTCGAAATCGTTACAGAACATGTTCAAAATCCGAAAGAGCCGATACGAGCTCAGAGGCACGACCGTGTTTATTAAAAAGAAAAACAGAACAAACATTATGAAATTTTGTAAATCTGTTAAAGGGGTGAAGCTCTGGAACAACTGTACAGAAAACCGAAAATTGTGCACCACTTTCTTTCACTTCATAAAGAAGTTTAAATGTTTAACTCTGGACAGATACATGAAATATGAGACTTAGTTTGTGCTGTAGAACTTTGTTGTTCTGCTTGTTTCTTCCTGCTGTATTTATGAAGATGAACTGGTGTCAAGATGAAGCTCTGACAAAGGAATAAAGGGTAAAGGCAGAATAAGCTTAAGCTTCAGCCTGCACCTCTTTGGTCTGTATATGTTAAATATGACTGTTTATGAATTAATGTCAAAATATACCTGTGACCGAAATAAATAAATAAATAAAAAATAAATAAATAAATAAAGGTAAATATTAGTGGTTTTGTCATATTTCTAGATGAGGGGTAAGAGCCACTTTTTCCTATTGGGTGCTTTTACTTAGCCTGATTCATCAGCTGGTTTTACTTTATTTCACTTTGTAGAAACTGTCTGCCCTCACAGCCTTAGATTTCGTTCACATGACAGTAGGTGGTAGAGGCGCGCGGATGGGCTACTTTTTCAACTCATCATCCGCCCGTTATCCATTTGCAACCACAGTTTTTGACCAGTTTTCAAAACCGCACCCGCCCGCCATCCGCTCGGTCTCCTCCCAGCTGCTCCGAGTTCAGAGTTTTTTATTTGAGTAGTGAAACCGCGACCCACCCAAATTTAATTAAAACATTATTTTTCATCACGTCATCCGCCCGACCGGAGATTTTGTCTCAGAGTCCGCGGCTGTAACCGCCATCCGCGCATCTCTAGTAGGTGGGTACTTTTTTTATTTAACCAATTGCTGCTATTTGGTAGTCACGTATGTAATGCGGGGCTAACTGGTATATGAAGCTTTTCCCAAATCCCGTAGGAAAAAGGACAATAGCGTCTTTCCCCTTGGTAAAATTCATAAAATACCTTCTCTTTGTTCCAGCTTTAAATCCTCGATCTTGAGAATCTTTGACAACACAGAATGTATAGTTCTTCACTGATTGGTTGGTGCCTGAACTCGCACTTACGGGGTTTTTGCGAACTGTCTAGAGCACAGTTGTCAAACATAAGGCCCGGGGGCCAGATGCGGCCCTCCAAGACCTTTAATGTGGCCCTTGAGTGATTTTCTACTAAAATATTTTAATTATATTTTCTATTAAAACATTGGTAATTTTCTGCAGTGTTTAGCATCGCAGTGTCTCCAGCGTCTCTGTACGTGGCCCCTCCTACCAGAGCAGCACAAATGAAGACTTGTCTCTTTCCAAACGCTCTTAAAGGACGATCGTTTTGACTGTTGACCGTGACACCCTCATCAGAAAAATGTCCAACATGAGAAAAGTGGAGCCGAGTGCAGGATTTTACAAGAAAAATTGACTTATTCCTGTTTGAATACAAGTTCATGTTAAAACTTTGTGTTGAAATTGAATTTTTCTTCAAGTTTCAGGTTGTTCGTAATATTATATTATAATAAACAGTTCATCAATTAAAAAAGATTTCTGTAATAGATTTGTGTTTCTCTGCACAAATATTTGAACTTATTGTTATTTTTGGGGTTTATATGACATGAGTTTTCTGATCCGGCCCCTTTGGGATCAAAGTAGGTTGGATACGGCCCCCGGACCAAAATGAGTTTGACACCCCTGGTCTAGTATATTTTGATTCCTGACCTAGGTGCTGGAGAGAAATGAAACTGAACGGAAGCACTAGGTGGCAGCAGACAGCGACCATGCAGCGAAACACACCCACAGACACACTCATCGCTCCACGCCGATGAAGAACGTAACGGAGGAACGAACCGAAAAAGCGAGCGCAACATGCCACTTCTAGACACGACTGAACAACCTGAGTCACTGCGAACACGCCGACAATCCAGCGTCCCAGACACACCCTCCCTACACGCCACAACTGAACGAAGCCCAGAGTCACCGTGAACTAGGGACGGGCATTCGATGAAATTTTCTTAATCGATCGTCGGAAGAATTAACGATCGATTATCGATTACTCATTAACGTTTTTTTATATTAAAATGATCATCATTATTATTACTATCTGCACTACTAATCTGCATAAATAAATTCAACTTTACGTCATTTAAACCGTAACGACTCTAGAGCCACATCAGCTGTTTGACATTATAATGTGTTTAATTCAGTTTTGCGCAAATCTCACAAAAACGAAACTTAAAACCGCATGGCTAATTTGCATAAACTAAGCGAAGATAAAACTACAGCTGTTGTGTCGCTGATGCGGTCAATTTCTGTCGGATTAAAAGACATGACTCAGTGAAATATAGGTTAGTGTGACACCGTACGGGGGGAGGGAGGTGGGGACTCGTCATCGACACAGAAACATATGTGCTGCTTTATACACTGTGCACATGGACTCACACTTGTCCCGAACGCAACGGAAAGCGTGGAATTTCTTGTACAAATCATCGTTGCACATCGCTCGCATTTGCACTTCAGCACGTTGCAGGCTGACCGACATGTACGGACCTGTTTGGTCACGCTACGCACAGCAACCTACATTCGGTTTGTCGATTAAAATGAACGTAATCGATGAAATTCTTAATGATCAATTATCGATTAATCGACTAATCATGCCCATCCCTATCGTGAACGCGACAAACAAACAAAACCATTGACCCATCCAACTGTTGTGTTTCCTTTAAAGTCCGGTGCGGTTTATTTGTGAAGAAAGTTCGAAAATAGACCATTTAATGACAGTGCTTGTCTTATGTCTTATAATCCAGAGCGACTAATAGTGTGGAAAATACGGTAGTTATTCCATTTCCTGCTCATTTCTAACCAACATCGTTATATTCCTCCCTGCTTCCCCACGTCCTATAACACAAACTCTGACCCGTTCTCCAGCCGACAGAGTTAGTATGAGAGCACGTACTTGATGAGCCACTCAAACTGCTCCTTGTCCTCGGAGCAGCCGTAGTCCGTGGTCCAGGCGTGTCCGATGGTGAACTTGTGGAACTTCAACATGTCCATGACCCCGACCTGAGCCACGGCACAGCCAAACAGCTCGGGCCGCTGGTTCACGCACGCAGCTGCACGGGGCACAGAATCGGAATTAGAACGGCAATGAACTCGATGAATTCACTTACATTCTTAGTTTTTATAACAGAAAATGTAAAATAAATAACAGAATATTATGACTGACATACTTCACATTCAGTTCAACACTGGTTTAGCAGGTCATCTTTGAGTCATGGCGAATTTTTAAGCAAGATTTGATATTTAAAAACTTTGTGGTCTTGCTCTGCCCGGAATGTTCCACAGTGTGACTTTAAACATCTCTACCTTAAATTTATTCAATCACAGGTGGTTTTATAGCACAAAAGAGTACCTACAAAAACAAACATTCTGACTGTGAGAGGGGGCATTTCTCCACAGATCTGACCCGTAACTTGGTCCGGTTTGGTCTCCATGAAGATAGAAAGGTTTAATGCCATACTGTGAAACATTCCAGACGAAGCGGTAGCATCTCCATGGAGAAAAGCGCTTGACAATGTCCACCAGAAAAAGTTGGATCTGTGTACAGTGGCCACATTTACGCGCAAATCAAAATCAGATTATTAGTCCAGTGAGGTTCATTTCCGATAATTTATGTTATTAGGTTATTTTTCAGACCAGGAGTTTGTTTTCATACCTGACAGTTTCGAGAACCACATTATGGACTAATTGGGACAGAGGACAACAAAACATCGTCGCTGGATTAAAGAGGCAATCGAAATACGGAAACGTGCCCACGGGACGATAAACCGGGACGAGGGGGCTTTTTTACTCTCACACACTTGAGATACTGTCCTGAGGAAGTCGGACTGCAGGTGGCGCTGTCGTCCTGCCTCCACTGGTAGGAAGTAGAGGTCTGCGCAGGACAGAATTTTCAGTCCCGCTCCCGCAAAGAACTGTAATTTTCAGTCCCACTCCTGCCCGCATCTGCGATATTTTGTCCCGCAAGATGGAGACGTTCGCTTTCTTAAACTCTATAAACACGCAGAAGCGGAAAGGAAGTGTCTAAAACAGTGGTCCCCAAACTTTTTTGCGCCACAGACCGGTTTTATACCAGACAATATTTCGTGGACCGGAGGGAGTTTGCGGGGAGGAGAAAAAACTCAAAAAACTGAAAAAACGAATCATTATCTGTTTTTTCATTTTGGTTTTGGAGACAAATAACGAAGAAAATAGTTGTTTTTTTTTCGTTTTCTTAATTTTGGTTTTATTTTGAATGAACTAATGAACGAATGATACGCGGATTGTAATGAATAAACGCTGGATGGAAAGGTTTAATGTCATACCACGGAACATTCCAGGCAAAGCAATGACATCGTGTGAAGTCGAGTTCAAGTAAAGATCAAGTAAAGTTGCACAGTGCACATTTAATGGTTTTCATAACTCCAGAAATCTGACACTAATCTGATTTAAAGTGAGCAGTATAATCCCTCATATTTCTGTTTATAAATACTGAGCTTTCCCGTCACTGTAATTGTTCCCTTTGCGGCGGCGGTCACGTACCCACGAGCAGGCCGCCGTTGGAGCCTCCGTTGATGGTGAGTTTGGAGGGGGAGGTGTATCCTTCTTTGATGAGGTACTCGGCCGCACACTGGAAGTCTGTGAAGCAGTTCTGTTTGTTCGCCAACATCCCCGCTGCACAGGAACACACAGACGAAAGACAAATGTTTTTTCTTAGAATTATTTGCCACATGATCATTTCAGAATCTAAATAAAACTCGATTTAAACTATTGTGTTTTGAATACTTCAGGATTTCACTTGGGCTGCACTAGAACAGGAATTTTGGTGCAGAATATTTCTCGGTTGTGAGTATTTATACAGACATAATATGCTTATTAAAAAATGTCATTATCGAAAGTTCTTTTAGGTTTAAGTTTTTTAAAGTAGAAAGTATTAGTAACTGTAAATTTTACATTGGTCCATTTAAATCTGAGATTTGACAAAAACTGTTTAAATCCAAAGGTAAATTCATGTTGCTTTTGACATGAACAGACCACTGCAAACTTCTCTGATCTGGCCAAGATTTTAAAACTTATATCAGGTTATTTTGTTTTCAGATTCATTATCTACTTAGTAATCCTGAGACTGCTTAATTCTAGTCTAGAGATATATTAAAATAAACTAACTTGTCAAGTAAAATTATCTTGCTGCCTGGACAGATAATTTCACTACTTTTAAGTCATTTTCTGATAGATTTAAGTGTTTATATCTTCAATTTTGGCCAATTTGTTTCACATGTCTATCACGTCAACTGGAAATTACAGAGATAGGATATGGTTACAGACTAAATATGTTTTTAAAGTATTGTAAAAGCACTGACTGGTCTGAAAACCAGATATAGATAAAATAGATAAAATATTATAATGAAAAACAGACAGAGAAGAACTGGAATATTGTTCCTGTTCGTTTCATGTCAACAGATACTGTATTTGGACCCAGGCTGCGAAATATATTGCAGTCAAATCGGAATCGCAGTTCAAGTTGTCAACATTATTTCTTTTGCAAACAGCTAATTATCTAGCCAGGCTGGCGCCACCTAGTGCCTCCTCTCAATTTCATTTCTCTCCAATGACTAGATCAGGAATCAGAAAACAGTAGACGGTTTGCAACCCTGGAAGTTGTAGACCGCGCACCAGCCAATCAGTGCAGAGACAGACATTCTGTGTTGGCAACGATTCCAGAGATCGAGGATTTAAAGCCGGAACAAAGAGAATTTATCAAGGAGAAAGATGTTATTGTCCTTCTTCCTACGGGATTTGGGAAAAGCTTAATATACAAGTTAGCCCCGTTAGCGGTGTCAGAATAATTTTATTATCCCATATTTGCTAAATACTTGTGTGATATTCTAGGCCTATGAGTTAACCATTTATGTACTACAATTCTTTGATTTATAATGTACCAATCACTTGTATGAATATGAATAACCTCTCTGTGTTTGACAACTGTGTGCAGTGTCTTATCGCTCTTGTGAACCTCGAGATGATTCCTCACATGAAGCCAACTCCCACTGTCACACATGCAAGAGTTATGATGGTGTCTGACCTAAGGCACCTCCTGATTGTTAATCATGTTTTATGTGTTTATACTATGCTTAGCTGCACCAGTTTCTTATTATGTCTTTGCTGTTTCCCCTTCCCCTTGAGAATTATCATTCTGTAACTAGGGCCTCCTAATGAAATAAAAAGGAGGAGAGCGGCCTTGAGTCATCAGAACGTGTGGAGACTGTTGGTTTTGATGCCCACTCTCTGCCCGTTCTCCTCATGAGTAAAACTGAATTAATCTCTTGTCTTTCTTCTTGTTTTTAAATGTCTAGATAAACCTAACAAGCGGCACATTACATATGTCACGACCAAATAGCAGCGACTGGTTAACTAAAAAAAGTACCCGCCTACTGTCGAGTGAATGAATCCTAATGCTGCGAGGTCAGACGGTTTCTACGAAGTGAAACTGTCTGATGAATCAGGCTACTAACTATCCTGACTTATTATGCAACTCGCTTAACGCTGTAGTTTAGGCCAAATGTTCTGAAATGCGTGGGATTAGTTTGGCAGTTTATTTTTCAGTCTTCTCTAAAATATTAATGCTCCAGGACATGGTCAAAATGTGAAAAGAATTCAACAAGTGGACCACATTTTGCAAATTGAAACATAAAAAAACAACAACTCCAGATCAGATGAGTACCGCCCTCACCTTTGTGCCAGGTCTCCCCGTACTCCCCTCCTCCCCTGATGTTGGCCACGGCGAGCACTCCCCCCAGGTGTCGCACGAAGATGAGTCGGGACACGCTGTAGCTGGGCGTGATGGAGATGTTGAAGCCCCCGTATCCGTAGAGGAAACCCGGGTGAGAGCCGTCCAGAGCGATGCCCTTTTTATGCACGATGAACATGGGGATCTGTGTGCCATCTTTAGACGGGTAGAACACCTGGGAGACAACGATAAGCCTTTTTATAATACTGTATTTTTCGGACAATAAATTGCACTTTTTCTCATGGTTTGGGTGTTTCCTGCGACTTATATATTAAAGTTTTCAGACTGACAGCCGCGAGAGGCTCTAGTCTTGTGTGTCAGTATCTGCTACTACTAGTCGGTGAGAGAGTGTCTACTTCTGCTCCTGTCACGTGCGGCCTGCCCCAAGGGTCCATCTTAGCGCCTCTTTTATTTTCTTTATACATGCTCCCCCTGGGTTCAATCCTAGAAAAACATCAGACTAAGTACCACCTTTATGCTGACGACACCCAGCTCTATCTTCCTGTTTCCCCAAAAAACGTCTCATCCTTTGTTACCCTCCATACCTGCCTTGCGGAAATAAAAAACTGGATGTCCTCTAACTTTCTTCAGCTAAACGAAAATAAGACTGAAGTTATCCTATTTGGACCTAACACTGACACCCTCACATCTGACCTTGGACCTCTTGCCACAAATTTGCACGGTTCAGCAAAGAACCTTGGTGTTTTTACGGACTCTCTTTTAAACTTTGACAAACAGATCGCAAATGTTGTTAAAACTAGCTTTTTTCAACTCAGACAAATTGCCAAATTAAAACCAATCCTATCATTCAATAACTTTGAAACAATCATTCACGCCTTTGTAACAAATAGACTGGACTATTGTAATGCACTATATTCAGGCCTCCCACAATCCTCCATCAACAGGTCACAGTTAATTCAAAATGCTGCTGCCAGACGCTCACCGGTTCCAAAAAGAGAGACCATACATACACCATACCATATACCATACACCCATCCTAGCCCAACTCCACTGTTACCTGTTAAATACAGAATTGATTTTAAAATTTTATTATTTGTTTTTAAATCACTTAACTCACTTGCGCCACAATACATCACTGATCTTTTAACCCCCACACAGCCTCTCGGTCTCTCAGGTCAAACTCGCTCAACCTCCTGTCCATCCCACCGTCCCGCCTCAAAACCAGGGGAGGCCGAGCCTTCTCTGTTGTTGCCCCCAAGCTTTGGAATTCCCTCCCTCTTCCCCTGAGATCTTGCTCCTCCCTATCTCACTTTAAAACCCTCCTAAAAACACATTTTTTCAAGATGGCATTTAACAGCCCATGAGCTCTATTTTAAACTATTATTTTTATGCATCAAGTAACTCGTCTATGTAATATTTTATATTTGTGTTAGTGTTTTCATTATGTTGTGTTTCATGCTGTAAAGCACTTTGGTGCAACTTGTTATGGTTGTTTTTAAATGTGCTATATAAATAAAATGACTTGACTTGACTACTATTACCCCCGTACCACTGTCACTTCACTCTCTACTGCGCATGTCTCCTGTAGAAAGAGCCTCTGTCTCGCTGCAAGTAGTGAAATATGCAGCCGAAAACGGTAATCGAGCAGCAGAAAGAAAGTTCGGAGTGAGCGAGAAACTTGTGAGGGACTGGCGGAAAGCGGGGACGGAGAACACAGCTTCACGGCAACCAGGCGAGTGCGGCATGAAACTTTCTTGGAAGTCGCTGGATGGATGGACAAAGCCTGGACTTCAGTGACACCGAAACCATCCTGTCGGGATTCAGAAAGGCCGGAATAATTCTAATAATTCTTGGAACTGATGCTGAGTCTGACAACAGCGACACAGAAGAGGAAGCGCCGCTCTGTTTACCTCATGGATCTATGGTTTATCTCTGGGGGGTTGCGCACAAGTGACACCGAGGATGAAGAATTGAATGGATTTAGTGATTTGGAGTGAGATCGATGTTCTGTTGTTTATGCTATAATTATCTGAATAACTGTTAATATGTTACGTTCAGTTCCTGGTCTCTGATTTTATAAAATACATTTTGCCATTTTTTTCTTCTTCTACATTACACATTTTTTGGCTGGTGCAACTTATACTCCGGAGAAACTTATAGTCCGAAAAATACGGTGCTCATAATAAAGTGATGAAAAATCGTGTGGGAGGTGGTCTCGCCTGTGTGGTCTGGTAGTCTGCGGGGTTGAAGCCTTTGACGGTGACTTCTCTGAACACGTGCGGCTGCAGAGGCTCCTGCGTCAGGTCACAGTGGTAAATGATGGCTGCGAAAAAAACAGAAATGCAAATATTTGGTTTAAAATCTCAACAACAAATCGACTACAACTCATTTCAGACGGAGGGCGCGGGCTTATGTACATTTTGATGAGCCACTTTTGCCGTTTTTATTATATTCATATTAATCTTATGGTTTAAAGTCATTTTAACGACTCTGGGGTTGAATAATGGAGCTTTATGAAACTATTGTTGTGAATAAATATTTTTACTTTTGTTTATTTATACGGACACAGATGATGTTGAACTTTTTCAATGGTTAATGGTCACATTTATATTCAGCTTTTTTCCCTCAGAGCTCAAGGAACAAGGAACAACAAATTCACAGACGCACACTCATACACCAGTATATGCAGACAGTGGGGGTGAAATAAGTTGAGTGTCTTGCCCAAGGACACAACAACAGCATTCATCTGTCAATGATGTTTATGTCGAGAGTCGGATTCAAACCTCCAAACATTCTGCCAGTGGACAAACGCGCCAACTGAGCTACTGTCGGTCCCCAGTTTTTGTTTTACGTGGATTAGGGATGGGGATTCGATAAAATTTGCTTAATCGATTGTTGAGAGAATTAATGATAGATTTTCAATTAATCATTAATGTTTTTATATTAAAAGTATCGTTATTATTACCATTACTAATCTGTATAAATAAACTCAACTTTACAGTTTACTTTTTCAGCCTGTTTGACATTATAATGTGTTTAATGCAGCTTTGACACATTTGTTTACATTTTATAGCAATGAAGCTCAAAACCGCAGCACTTATTTGCAAAAACTATAAGCAAAAAAAAACAGCTCTTTCCTTGTGCGCTGATGCGGTTCAGCTTCTGTCGCACTAAAGGACACGACTCAGTGGAATATGAGTGTTTTTTCTGTGACAGAGGGATGTTGATGTTGATGATGATGATGATGATGATGAGGAGGAGTCTGTTCTGTGTCTGTGTCGTGTTGGAGATGGTCCATGTTTTCAGAGATCATATTGCGTCTACATGCGCCATGACAAAACCGGGACACTTTAAAAAAAAAACACTCATACCCGGGACACTGATGTGCTGTAAACACACTCACTGAGTGGAATTGTGTTTCCAAGGAGCCAGAGCCCAAACGTGGAACTGTGAGGCACAACTCCAGTGTTTGTGTCAGACGCTGCCTTGTCTCCTCGCACAGCAACATACACTCAGTTTGTTGATTAAAAATGAACGTAACTGATGAAATTCTTGATCAATTATCAATTAGTGGACTAATCATGCCCATCCCTGGATACATAAAATTACAAAGATACAATCTGACAGTTCCACAGCAAACTCCCCCTGAGAGTTCAAACCTGTCTCAGCTCAGTTTAAACTATGGACATTCAAGAATGTAGTAATGTCACGGTTTTGTGCGTCACTCCACACTTCTGTAGTCACATCTGCCCTCATCTGACTTTCATGAAAAGTAAGGCATGAGAGTCCATGACTTGCATAATGGCACTTCAGTTTGTAGTGCAGTGTAGTGAACTGCCAACCTTCAGGACACGAGTCTTGGAAGACTGAACCAACTGTTTGTTTTTTTTGTAACTGTTATAGCTAAGGATGGGCATGATTAGTCAATTAATCGATAATTGATCATTAAGAATTTCATCGATTACGTTCATTTTAATCGACAAACCGAATGTATGTTGCTGTGTGTAGTGTGACCAAACAGGTGTGTACATGTAGCTCTGCATCAGAAGGAGCGAGCAAACACACACACAGACTCAGTCAGTCTGCAACGTATCGAAGCACAAATGTGTATTTAACGATGACTTGTACAAGAAATTCCACACTTTCCGTTGCGTTCGGGACAAGTGTGAGTCCATGTGCACAGTGTATAAAGCAGCACATATGTTTCTGTGTCCAGTGGGAAAATGTTTTTCCAGGTGAGAGTCGCTCAATGTGGATGACGAGTCCCCGCCCCCCTCCCCCCGTACGATGTCCTGGTTTTGACAAACGCAAATCTGGTCACACTGACCTGTATTCACCTGAGTCATGTCTTTTAATCCAACAGAAATTGACCGTATCAGCGACACAAGAGCTGTAGTTTTATCTTCGCTTAGTTTATGCAAATTAGATGCGGTTTTAAGATTCGTTTCTGTGAGAGTTGGACAAAACTGAATTAAACACATTATAATCTAAAAAGGGCTGATGTGGCTCTAGAGTCGTTACGGTTTATATGTTGTAAAGTTTAAGTTATTTATGCAAATTAGTAGTGCAGATAGTAATAATAATGATGATCATTTTAATATAAAAACGTGAATGATTAATTGATAATCGATCGTTAATTCTTCCGACAATCGATTAAGAAAATGTAATCGAATGCCCATCCCTAGTTATAGCAAAAGAAAATTCCACTCTGTCAACTGGACAAAAGTTTTGTAGTTTTAATTGTTAAAATGTTTTAGTGCCATCTAGACGTCAACAAATTAACTATTATTCTGAAAACAAATGGTGTTGTACTTCGACTGTTTCCATTACCGTCACTTGGCGTCACACTGTACCTGGGGAGAGGAAGGAGGTGAAGTAGTAGAAGATCTCCGTGTCCCTCTTGCGCCCGGTGAAGCCCACGATGGAGCCCACGTCCAGGGGGAAGGTGCGGAGCTCGTCCCCTGTGCTCAGCTGGTACATCTTCAGCACGTTCTTCACGTCGTGGAGGAAGCAGACGAACAGCAGGCTGGAGTGTGTGCACGTCGCAAACACTGAGCACAACACACAACACACAACAGTCAACTTCACTTTCCAGGTGCCAACTTTTGTTTGAAGTGAATTTTACATTTTTCCTACTAAAGAAAAACAGGAGGAAGTGTGTGAAATGATGTTACACATATTTTGATCACCATGTTGCCTTTGATTGTTTTGAAAACGCTGAAATCACCAAAAACAACGTATTAACATGCTTTATAAGTTTTACTTTTGCTTCTGATACTCTGAGTCCCCTCCCTTTGCTCCCTGTGTTAGCTCCCCCTTCAGAGCGCTATCACAACACAATCAATGTGCGTCCCACTAATGAAACTCCTGTATCACCTCAGGTTTGTGAAGTTGTTGTGTACAGTTTTGTGTCATGTTTTTAACCCTTCCAGACCAACATGTTTTACATAACTGAGCATAAAACTTTCCAACCATAAAAGATAGAAGGTTTTTAGATTTTTTTTTTCAGTTACATTTTCAGTTTTTCAAGCATATTTCTGGCATTATCCTACGTCACATAAACGCTGCATGATGACGTAGGAAAACTGAGTGTCCAATACGTATTTTGCTTTCCGCTAAACTCATGTGCTTCATCCATTTTGATTGGCCCAAACTTTGCCAAAGAGTGTAGTGAGTCAAAATGGTCGACTGCTCTGAGCGTCTGTGTTCATAACAAAGGAAACTCATGGGACCATTGCACTTTTTTTGTTTTGTTTTTGATGGTAAATATAATATATCTTTTGTATTTCTGGTCCCGTCGCTTTTATTACAGCCATATGACACAACTACAGCGTGCAGATTGTGAAATAACAGGCTGTACTGACAAAAACGGAGGTACAACACTTCATTAGGTGGTAAAAGTGGGAGTTTGAATCCAGGCGAGGACAAATGGACTATAAAATTGCCTTTCCGTCTGGAAGGGTTAATGAAGGAACAACACTAACATGGAAGACAGCAAAAAAATAACTAAATAATTTAAACATATCAGATTTTGCATAATGTCGTCTTTTTAATCCAACTCATTCCTGCACATCACCGGTGTTGACATCACATGCATGAATCATGAGGCTCGTAAACAGCTCCAGAACAGCTTCTTCAAACGGCAAAGTGGAGTTGAATGGACCACAGCGCCAAAGCACCATCAATTCCAGCCACGTTTATGGCTCTCTCCGGGTTTGTGATCAATAAAGTACTTTATAATAAGATGTAGACACTGTGCTGTAATCTGATTTTCTTACAAAGTCTATTTTTTTTTAACAATATACTCTACTGGGGAAAATAAATAAAGTTGACTTGTGCTGAAATGTAAAATTACACAAAAGTAGGACACCACATTAAAGGTTGTATGGAGAATTTTTTTTTGTTTCAAGTTGTCAGTGATAGATTATAGAGGTGCAGTAGCCTTGTAATTATGATGACCAAAAAAAAGAGAATAAAAACTCATCAACTCTGGACGTGGTGGGGCTAAACATTTGCCAATAGATAACGACACTGCCTCGTTATCTGTGAGCTGACAGGCTGTCAATCAATCTCCCTACGTTTCTAGCGTAACTGACTTGCCTGCGCTGCCGTTACGTGGTTTACGTACGACTGTCACGCAGTCCACAGACGCAAGACACACAGACGCTGTTTACTCCACCAACGCAACAGTTCTTTTTTTTACCTATATCTTCCTCGCAGTTCGCACAAAGTTTGTTGCAATGGCGACAAGAATCCAGGAGCAGTTCGCCGCAAAAGAAAGTCCGTTTTTGAGGTCGCTGAAAGAAGAAGACAAGGGGAAAAGCAGCGAAGCCAAACTAAGGTGATTCTTGGAGATTCATTCCAGCGATGGCGCGACTGAAGCAGACGAAGGGTCTAAAGACTGACGCATTGGTCCACAAATTACTCCTGGACAGGAAACTTCTGCTTATTATGAAAACGTACTTTATTTCCAAGAGCTAAACAAACGTTTTTCAGGACACGAAAGTGATATCCTATGTCTGAAAACGTAATTTTCAAGGCAAAGAAAGAGTCCGCTTGCTGCTGCGTGTTGTAGCTAGTTCATTCGCACTGAATCTCCGCGCAACCTTCTCTGCACCCCTTTCCTGCTCCTCTCCCCGCTGCCCGTTCCGCTCTTCTCCCTGCTCCTCACTTCTCTGGGCACGGAATCTCCGCGCACCGCTCCCCTGTCCTCTCCCCTCTCCTCTCTCCTCTCCTCTCTCCCTGCTCCTCACTTCTCGTCCGCGAACGAAATCTCCGCGCACCCGCTCCCCCCGCTCCTCACTTCTCCATCTTGCCTAACCAACACTGTAGTTAGTTGTTTACAAGTCATGTGCAGCACCGGCTGTAAACAAACCTGTTTCTGGCATAAAGAGGAGGAGGGAGGAGGTGTTTCTACGTAGGAGCTGTAGGGGAGGGGGGGTGGTTTCACGCATGCGCAACATTTGAAAAAGGACAAACAGTCGCTGGATTTCTCGTTCCTTGGAAAATCCTCTATACAACCTTTAACCCTCTCAAGGTGGATCAAGTCTTAAAGAAACTGTATGTATCCTGCACTCTTCCTGTTTGGAATTGTTCTCTTTCACTGCTGTGTTTTGTTTTCTCGATCACAGTTTTTTGTTTTTTTGTCATGTTTTACGATCACAACTGAACCTGTGTCCCCAGAGCTTTAACTTGCAGATAGAGACACGTCCAAGTTTGTCTCATTCTCAGTTTATGTTCAGGCCTCATGTGAAGCTCAGAAACTCCAGAATTTCCTCCCTGAGCTGCAGAGGCTGCACTAGCGCTGACTCATGACTGGTGCAGGTGCCGGGGTTTAGGGAGTGACTTCCGTGACTGCGATGCCGGATTTTTGCACCGCATACGGACTGAACCAGGACTGATTCAGGACTAAAACAGGACTAAACCAGGGCTAAACCATTTTCAGTCCTGGTGTAAGTCCTGGTCTCAGTCCTGGTCTCAGTCCCAGTCTCAATCACGGTCTCGGTCCTGTTCTCAGTGTCACAGTCTCAATGACAGTCTAGTCCTGGTCTGGTCCCGGTCTAAGTCATGGTCTAAGTCCTGGTCTCAGTCTCGGTCTGCTCCCAGTCTAAGTCCTGGTCTCAGTCCCGGTCTGGTCTCGGTTTAAGTCCCGGTCTGGTCTCGGTTTAAGTCCCGGTCTCAATCACGGTCTGGTCTTGGTCTGATCATGGTCTAAGTTCTGGTCTGGTCCCGGTCTGGTCACAGTCTCTGTCCTGGTCTGGTCCTGGTCTGGTCCCGGTCTAAGTCCAAGTCCCGGTCTAAATCCCGGTCTCAATCACGGTCTGGTCCTGGTCTGGTCATGGTCTAAGTTCTGGTCTGGTCCCAGTCTAAGTCCTGGTCTCAGTACTTGTCTAAGTCTCGGTCTAAGTCCCGGTCTAATTCCTGGTCTAGGTCGCGGTCTAGGTCCCGGTCTAGGTCCCGGTCTAAGTCCCGGTCTAAGTCCCGGTCTCAATCACGGTCTGGTCCTGATCTGGTCATGGTCTAAGTTCTGGTCTGGTCCCAGTCTAAGTCCTGGTCTCAGTACTTGTCTAAGTCTCGGTCTAAGTCCCGGTCTCAATCACGCTCTTAGTCCCGGTCTCAACCATGGTCTGGTCCTGGACTGGTCCTGGACCTGGTTCAGTCCTGGTTCAGTCCGTTGTTTCCATTATTCATTTAAACACAAAATCGAAAACTTAAAAAACGAATCGTTATCCGTTTTTCAGTTTTGGTTTTGGAGACAAATAATGAAGAAAATAGTTGTTTTTTTCATTTTCTTATTTTTGCTTTTATATTGTAAAACGAATGAACGTCCGACACATGTTGGGTTTATCGTCTCTCACCGATCACGTCCTTGTCGTGTTGTGGGAGGAGCTCTCTCCAGCTGCTGGGCTCTGGGCTGGAGAAGTCGATGTTGATGAGCCGGTACCTCGGGGCCTCCAGGTTGGTTTTAAACGTGAACACTGTGCCCTCGTTTGTCACATACTCGTACTCTGCGTCAAAGTTATCGATCAGCTTCACCCACGGCAACAGGCCTGCACACGGGACCACAGAGACACGGGAGTCAGTAAGAATCAAAAACAGAAGAAAAGTACAATGTATATGTCAAAAAATACATATGCTGTAACTGAATGCACATGGAAAAACTAATCTAAAATCAACTAACACCATCTTTGTTGTGATGACTCATTTCGTTTATGAGAACAGACTTTGTTTCAGATCAATATTGTGATTTAAAACGTCTGAAATATAATAATGATCCACGGGTGTCATAGATTATAACTGTATAACTAGACAAAAGCATAATGCAGGCTTGTCAAGTCACGTCAATTTCAGAATATCTGAAGCCAAGTAAAGCTGGGCCTGACTAAAATATGACAATATCAAAACTAGAAACAAAAGCGACATGGTTCTAAAGACTTGAAAAGATCGGCTTTGTCAGTAGACACATCGCACTGGGGAAACAAACATGGCGATTTGAAGCTCATTTTGTTGGAAAATCCTTCCCAGTATGAATTGTGCAATGACCGGTACTTTGAAATTCGTGATACATGTATAGTCCAGATTGGCAGCCTCACTTTTATCAATCGACTGAATGAATAATGCAAACGTCGTGGAAGCAGCAGCAGCAGCAGCTCTGACCTGTGATTCCCTGAGGCTGGCTCTGTAGGTCACAGTACCACAATCTGTTGACCGGATCACAACCTTCCCTGATGGACAGCAGCACGTAACGCCCGTCATCTGACACCTGCGGCGGACGAGGGGAGAGACAACACCATTTCACTGCACTATTTACACATTTACACAAGGTTTGACTTCGAATTATTTTGCGTAAATCAACTTTTATAGGCCAACCGTGTTCAAACAGACTGAAAACCGTCATGTTCACAGACGCAGTAGAGTAAAGAGGAGCAGTACCTCGGCTCCGCTCATCCACTTGGGCTGCTCGGGGAACTGTGCACACAGAACATCATCGGCCTGAGCGCTCCCCAGCACGTGGTAGTAGAGCTTCTGGTGCAGGTTTGTCGACGTCTCTGTGCCTAAAGAGAGAAAATTAAACCACCATTACAACTGTCACAAGAAAATACTCTGTCAACTTATGTTTCAGTACACTATAGGGTCGATAAATATCTTTCTTATATCCTTTTATTGCATAAGGAGGGACTATTTTTACACTACGGATCTTCTTACTTTGGCGCAGGCTTTCTTTTGTCTTTTGTTTGGGGAGTAAATTATTTAGACATTTATCAACTAAATAACCTTTTTAATCATTTAAAATGCATTTTCTGTAATTTTTTTGTTCAAAATAGGCTTCAGGCTTAAGTCACAAACTACGAAGGCTAGAGGTGTGCAAAAACATCAGAATATCAATATGTCTTATCTTTTAACCTATTGACGCCAGATGCTGCGCAGTGCAGCGCTGAGTCTCCTGTCAGTGTCCGGATTGTCTGCCGATCAGCGTAACTGGTAAAGGCGGAGCCACACCTGGAAGCATGGGGGGCGTGTCCTCCTCTCGCTTCCATTCACTCCCACAGAGAGACGCAAAACGGCCGGAGCTGTACTGTCACGTTAAACCTTCTTTATCGTGGCGTATTATTTCCCCATTGAAAAATAATCCAAATGTTTCCCGCACATGTTCCCATCAAGACCTGGTTTGAAGTAACAAATGTTGCGCTTTACTGCAGCGCATGAACGCGCTCAAACACTTGATCTGTTCGCTGTTCCAGACGCTCCTATAACAGGTGCCATATCGCTATGTCGTGTAACAAATAAACATGGTCAAACACAAAAATGTTGTCCGTGACAATGACAGTAAAGACACGGACAACAGTTGAAAAGAGCAGAGTTTTCCTCATCTCCCGTAATAAAAACTATCCTCATGAGTGCACTGACCGTCGCTCTTGCCCTCCTGGTCGGGGTACGAGTTGTAGAAGAGGCCCTTCCCGTCGTGGGTCCAGGACATGCAGCTGAACTTGACCCTCTCCAGACGGTCCTCCAGAGGCACGGCCCCCTCCACCCGCAGGAAGCGGATCTCCACCCAGTCCGAGCCGCTGGCACTGGTGCCGTAGGCCAGGTACTCCCCGTCCTCTGAGAACGCGTAACCTGCAGCAGCACAGAGACAACGTGAGGATTAAACAGTCTGCTTATTCTTTTAGTTTTTATATAAAAGCTAAGGCAAGGATACATTTGGAATCATCTCTTCACTATAGTTTAACATGTCTGTACTTGATTTATATTTCTTTTGGTTAAGATGAACAGCCTTTGCATCAAGCATTTCATTACTGACAGGGACATCCTCCAATCAGATGCAATGTTCATTAAGAATCATAGTGCCTGATTCAATCCCAGACAGTCAGATCTCACCGTGAATTTTTAACAGAAAGAAAAAAAGCAAAGTGGAAATAGATGAGAACCATAGAGAAAAAGCACAACAACTTTCCCAGACTCATATCTCTATTTTTTTTTTTTTATACAAAGGGATATAAGTGTGGTCTCCATGCTCTAAGTCACATCCATTGACTGTATAAAAACGTGGATTAAAGGTTGTATGGAGGATTTTTTTGTTTGTTTCAAATTGTCAATGAAAGTTTAAAATACCATTACAGAGACGCAGCAGCTTTGTAATTATCAGGACCAAAAAAAAAAGAAAGAAAATCTATCAACTGTGGACGTGTTGAGGCCAGATAAACATCAGCCAATAGAAAACGAGGCTGCCTCATTTTCTATTGGCTGTCAGGTTGTCAGTCAATCTCCCTATGTTTCTAAGGTAACTATGCAGCAGTTCTTAGAGGCTTTTTCTAATTGTGGCTCTCGCAGTTCGCATAAAGTTTGTTGCAATGTCGGATGAGAATCCACGACCAGTTCGCCGCAGGAGAAAGTCGGTTTTTGAGGTCGCTGAAAGAAGAAGAGAAGGAGAAAAGGAGCGAAGACAAACTGAGGTGATTCTTGGAGATTCCTTTCAGTGATTGCGCGACTGAAGCAGACAAAGGGTCTAAAAACTGAGGTGTCGGTCTCTAAATTATTTCTAGAGGGAGCTGTGGAGGAGGAAGGTGGTGTCAAGGACTGTCGCTGGATTTCTCTTTCCTTAAAAAAATCCTCTATACAACCTTTAAGCGAGTGTGACGTCACCCACAGCGTTCGGTGCCACTCAAATGAAGCTCGCAATGCTGACGGTTACAGGAACGAATCTGAAGCCAGTCTCGAAAAGAATAGGAAGAATAGTGAGGAAAATTCATGTAAAGCGGGTAAATATGAACATTTTAAGACCAAAATGATGAGGCTCAATGCAACCGTTACTGAGACAAGGACGACAATATTCCAAAGCATTGTATTTTTTGGACTATAAGTCGCACTTTTTTTCGTGGTTTGGGTGTTTCCTGCAACTTATATATTAAAATTTTCATACTGACAACTGCGAGAAACTCTAGGCTTGTATACTCTTGTACCACTGCCACTTCGCTCTCTACTGCGCATGTCGGCTGTAGAAAAAAAGAGAAAGAGCCACTGTCCTGTCTGGTATCATGTCAGTCGATCGCACCAATACTTCTGCACCACTGAAACTTTAAAATTTAAACAAAGACAACTGAAACCATCCTGTCGGGATTCAGAAAGCCCGGAATAAATCTAACTGGAACTGATGCTGAGTCTGACGACAGCGACACAGAAGAGGAAGATCGAGGCCGAGTTGTTCAGAAGTGACACCGAGGATGAAGAATTGAATGGATTTAGTGATTTGGAGTGAGATGGAGAGTTTGTTAAACTTTTTCTGTTCTGTTGTTTATGTTATAGTTTATCTGAAGAACTGTTCATATGTGACATTAAGGCTACGTTCAGACTGCAGGGCTTAACGCTCAATTCCGATGTTTTTGTGAAATCCGATGTTTTTGCGAGGTCGTTCACATTTCCAATTAAATGTGACTTGTATGTGACTCCAGTGTGAACATTAAACGGTCCAAAAGTGTCCCGCATGTGACACTGGAGACACGACGACGTCAACCGCAGCGAGCGTCTCTGTGTTTACGGAAGTTGTCCAAACATGGACGCAGCATCGAGCACCTGGAGATTTTAAAGTTCCTCTCGTACCGGAGCCTGAACATGAACAACTTACTTGTTTTAAGGAGGAGATTGAGAAGGAGAAGGACGAGGTTTTTGGTCGTGGTGTTTTGTGGGACAGCGGCAGCGACGTCCGTTGAAAGGAACGTGTGGATGTGGAGACGGAGCCAAGAGTGGTGAGTGGTGATGTGCTTCACTTCAGTGACACGGAGTTCGTTAACAATGTTCTCCGACTTCAGTGCAGAATAGTGACGTTTGTGTCTTGTTGATAACGTGTAGGTGGATGAATGCACTTTGACCGTTCACACTGAAGTCACATGTCAAAAGATCAGATATGTATCGGTTTCAGGAGCACATATCCAAGTGTCCTGGGTCACATTTGAAAAAATCGGATCTGTGTCGTTCAGACTGTCATTAAAAGATCAGATACAAGTCACATAGAGGCCAAAAAATCGTATTTGGGTCACTTCAGGCTGCAGTCTGAACGCAGCCTAACAGTCTGTTGTTCTCTCTTCTATCCCCCAAAAAGTGTGACTTATATATATATATTTTTTCTTCTTCATTACACATTTTAGGGCTGGTGCGACTTATACTCCGGAGTAACTTATAGTCCGAAAAATACGGTAAATGGAAGCCAGGGTCAGTAGGAGCTGGAAGAGTCTCCATGCGAACTTTCTATTTGGAACGCGGTGGCTTCTGCATCAGCCATTTTCATTTATATATATACAGTCTACGGTCACGGCTCAAGTCAGAACCAAACATATCCGTGTCAAATTATTGTAGTATTGAAGAAGTGTACATTCTGGATGCCAGTTAAGTAATATCAAAGTGAAAAAAAGGACTACGTGGCCAAGGATACCAGCTGATAATAAAGTATGTTCCTGAGTCATGGTTCATACAGACTTATATAGTTTGTGTATAATTTCAGAATGAGTGCTGTGTACCTCGTAGCGCTACCGTGCCGTCGTCAGAGAAAGTGTTGGGGTCCAGGAACACGGTGGGCTCCGCCTCCAGACTCTCCTGGACGTACATGACGCTCTGGTTCTGCAGCCCCGTGTTGTAGAAGTGAAAGTATCTGCCATGAAAAATACATGTCACAATCTCCAAAGTTCTATGCAAATAAATCTACTGATAATATTGATAGGAGCAGAGAATGCGGAGGAGAGGGGTCAGAGAGATTAGAGGAGAATAAAATAACAAAACGAGTATCAGAGTCAGTGAGTGTCTGCACGGAGGAGAACATGAAAAGATAACTTGTGGGAGGATCGTGAGAGGAATCTTGAACGATTTATTTTAGTGTTTAATTATTCCATCTTAGGCCGGGCGTACACTGTGCGATGTTTGACCCTTTTTGAGCCGATTTTCGCTCGTGCGACTGTTTTGGGGATCGGGCCGAGCTTCTTGTAGTTTTACATAAAGAAAACCGAAATGATCAGAGCTCAGTATCGCAAGAAAATCAAACTTGTGAGTCGCCTCTGATATTGATGAGCCAGAGAGAATGCGCGAACACAGAGTCAGATTGTGTCTCGCACATCTGTGTTTTCTAATTCCGTGTGTCTTCTTGACTTCCGGAACAACAACTTTGACAACTCCGGTCGTTATGTGATACGTGAGCAGCAAGTCACATCCGAGCATCGGTTCGTTCAGTTGAGAACGATTCGTTTATTTTAGTCGTACAGTTTAAGCTGGGCTTATTCGCACAGTGTACACCCGGCTTAGGGTCCAGTACCATTTTTACTTTTTGCTTTTACACGTTTACATTTACAACTTTCAGACTGCAAAGAACTGTTTACTGTTATTTTTGGGGTGTGAGAAAATATTGAAATATCGATATATCGTATCGTTTGATGTGATGATACAGTATCCATATCGTGGGCTGCTGTACCGATATATCGCCAAGAGTATTTTTTGCTTAATTATTTTGTTACAGCGCTACAGTTTTGTAGCCAGGCTGGCGCCACCTCGTGCCTCTGCTTAATTTAATTTCTCTCCAGCGAGTCCAGATCAGGAATCGGAACACACTAGACCAGTGATTCTTCACCATAGGACCAGGGGCCAAAGTAGGGCCGGGACCACCTCCTCGGGGGCCACACAATCAGTACAATATAATGCATTTAATATGAGATCGGGCCCCAAGTAACTTTGTTGTGGAAAACTCGGGCCCCAAGATTGAAAAGGTTAAGGGCCCCTGCACTAAATGGTTCGCAAAAACCCCGGAAGTGTGAGTTTGGGCACCAGCCAATCAGCGAAGAGCCAAACATTCTGTGTTGGCAACGATTCCCAAGATCGAGGATTTAAAGCCGGAACAAAGAGAATGTTTGGTGAATTTCTTCAAGGGGAAAGTTGTTATTGTCCTTCTTCCTACGGGATTTTGGAAAAGCTTAATATACCAGTTAGACCTATTAGTGGCACATTACATACGACACGACCAAATAGCAGCGATTGGTTAAATGAGAAAAAGTACCCGCCTACTGTTTTTTTGTTGTTTGTTTAGAGGAAGGAAATCCGTTTAAGTGACAAATTTTTCACTATTTTCAGGATTAAAATGTTTGTGTTTCATATGAACTAGGGATGGGCATGATTAGTCCATTAATCGATAATTGATCATTAAGAATTTCATCGATTACGTTCATTTTAATCGACAAACCGAATGTAGGTTGCTGTGTGTGTCGTGACCAAACAGGTGTGTACATGTGTCTCTGCATCAGAAGGAGCGAGACACAAACAGTGGGTCAGTCTGTAACGAACCGAAGCACAAATGTGGATTTAACGATGATTTGTACAAGAAATTCCACACTTTCCGTTGCGTTGGGACAAGTGTGAGTCCATGTGCACAGTGTATAAAGCAGCACATATGTTTCTGTGTCCAGTGGGAAAAAGTTTTACCAGGTGAGAGTCGCTCAATGTGGATGACGAGGCCCCGCCCCCCTCCCCCCGTACGCTGTCCTGGTTTTGACAAACACAAATCTGGTCACACTAACCTGTATTCACCTGAGTCATGTCTTTTAATCCTACAGAAGTTGAACCACATCAGCGACACAAGAGCTGGAGTTTTATCTTCGCTTTGTTTATGCAAATTAGCGATGCGGTTTTAAATTTTGTTTCTGTGAGATTTGAACAAAACTGAATTAAACACATTATAATGTCAAACGGGCTGATGTGGCTCTAGAGTCGTTACGGTTTATATGTCGTAAAGTTGAATTTATTTATGCAGATTAGTGCAGATAGTAATAATAATGATGATCATTTTAATATACAAACGTCAATGATTAATCGATAATCGATCATTAATTAAGAAAATTTCATCAAATGCCCGTCCCCAATATGAACTCTACACAAGAAGTGGTTTAGCAAAGATTTTTCGTGTCAAAGACATGATTTAGCCTTTATTTTTTACTAAACCCTAACAAATCGATTTGAAATATATCGTATCGAATCAAAAACGCACTGTATCGAGATATGCATTGTATCTAAAACTTCTTAATGATACCCAGCCCTAACTGTTATAGCACCGACACCAATGCACATCCCAGTACGTCATCTTTCTTTGTCAGAAATCGATGAAAACCTCTCACCTGCTCCCCCTCTTGAACGGGCAGCTGTACTTGGGGTAATCGTAGAGCTCCGTCATTCGCTCTTTGAACAGCTCTCTGACCTCACACTGCTCCAGGAAGGGCAACGTCAGCTGGTTCTGCGCCGTGACAAAGGCCTGGGACGGGGAAAAGCAGACAGGATTATGAAAAAAAAAAACTCCTCACAAATTAAATCGGCAGGTTTTAATTTCGACCGGCTCTGGTACCGGCTCGCCCTCGAGGTCTTCGGCACGGGTGTTCTGATGGTAAAATGGGAATCACCGAAAGATAACTAATGTTTTCTAAATAAGTAAGATCGAAACTGTACCTGAATTATACTTTTTAATCATAAAATGTCAAATGAATCGGCACAGTTCACTAAATAGAAGTACTGAACTTATAGAAAGACTACAATGTCCTGTCCAATTAGGGTTTGGGACGAGAGTTTCGATATACAGATACTGACTCAGCAACAAAACAAGTATTGATACTGTTATATTAATATCAATACTATTTATTTGTTTATTTATTTCACTCATATTAGTATAAAAAGACATCGCAGTGTCACAACATCAAACGTACAAGAAATGAAAACAATCAGAAAGCGTCGTCTTATGTTCTCTGCCCCGTTTTCCCTTTTCCAAACAAACATCAACACCGATAGTTACTTTAAAACATTTCAAATCAGAACATTTCAGTTCAGGCGCAATTATTAATCAATTGCAAACAGAAATCTTCACTATTATCTACGGTGTTGGGGAGTAACAGATTGATTACATAACTCCAGTACATGTAGAGTACAAATTATGAGTAACTGTATTCAGTTACAGTTACTGTTTCAGTGAGTGGTAATTGGATTACAGTTACTTTGTTGAAATAAATGGATTACATGGAGGTATTTTCCTGTTTTCACATTTTGGGCTGTATCCAATTATTTTTTCTTTTTTTTTTAACCAAGTCTAAACCAGGAATAATTCAGGATTGAACCAGGACTGAACCCGGGACTAAAACCAGGTCTAAACTAGATCTAAACCAGGTCTAAACTAGCTCTAAACCAGATCTAAACTAGATCTAAACCAGGTCTAAACTAGATCTAAACCAGGACTAAAACTAGGTCTAAATTAGATCTAAACCAGGTCTAAACTAGATCTAAACCAGGACTAAAACTAGGTCTAAACTAGATCTAAACCAGGTCTAAACTAGATCTAAACCAGGACTAAAACTAGGTCTAAATTAGATCTAAACCAGGTCTAAACTAGATCTAAACCAGGTCTAAACTAGATTTAAAACCAGGTCTAAACTAGATCTAAACCAGGTCTAAACTAGATCTAAACCAGGACTAAAACTAGGTCTAAACTAGATCTAAACCAGGTCTAAACTAGATCTAAACCAGGTCTAAACTAGATTTAAAACCAGGTCTAAAACTAGGTCTAAACTAGATCTAAACCAGGTCTAAACTAGATCTAAACCAGGACTAAAACTAGGTCTAAACTAGATCTAAACCAGGTCTAAATTACATCTAAACCAGAACTAAAACAGGATTTAACAGGACTAAATCCTGCTGTGTGGACGTGTTTCCTCATCTTCTATCAATAATATTTTTAATTTGGTTCAGTAAATTCTGGGCTTTTTATTTTCTTTTAGCAAACAAAACACCTTATGTAAAGATTTCCTCGTCTTTGTTTCTCTACAGCAAATCAAATAATCCAAAGTATTCAGATTACATTACTCACTTTAATTTAATGGATTACGTTACAAACTACATTTTGGGGTGTGTAATCTGTAATCTGTAGGGGATTACATTTTAAAAGTCACCTTCCCAACACTGCTTATCTACAACAGGGGTGTCAAACATACGGCCCCCAAGACCATTAATCTGGTCCACGGATGATTTTCTACAAAAATATTTTAATTATATTTTCTATTAAAATCTTGTTAATTTTCTGTGGTGTTTATCACAGCAGCGTCTCCAGTGTCTCTGTACGTGGCCCCTCCCACCAGAGCAGCACAAATGAAGACTTGTCTCTTTCCAAACGCTCTTAAAGGACGATCGTTTTGACTGTTGACCGTGACACCACCAAAATCAATCAATCAATCAAACTTTATTTGTATAGCACTTTTCATACATTTGAAATGTAGCACAAAGTGATTCACATGCAGCAGAAAAAATTTAATACATTAATGAACCCCCCCATATATACAACAATTTAAACATAAAAACTAAAAACTAAGAAACATAAAGCTCTTAAAAGTTATAGTAAAAATGAAAATGTATAGCTAAAATCAGATGGAGACTAAGTAAAATAGTAATGATAATTTCAATTTAAAACAACTATAATAATACCAATAATAATGATAATTTAAGTTAAAACAGGTAAAAGTTTCAGTTAAAAGCTAAATTAAAAAGAGAAGTTTTAAGTTTACTTTTAAAAATATAAACACTCGCAGCAAACCACAGATCCTCAGGTCGACTGTTCCACAAACGGGGGCCGTAAAAGCTAAAAGACGAGTTTTAGTTTGGACTCTTGGGACAGTTAAAAGACGACGACCTGAGGACCTGAGAGTCCGAGAGGCTCATATGATAAAAGCAGATCAGATAAATAAATAGGACTAAGACCATTACGAGCTTTATAAACCAATAAAAGAACTTTAAAATCTGTCCTGAAGCTCACTATACCAAAAATAGTTTCGCCAATCCCTATCGCCAGTTCATGTGCTTCATGTTGCACGTCCAGTTCGGCTGCAATGATTAACTGACTAATCATGATTAGTCGATAAATAAATAATAATTGTGGTAAATCTACGGCAATCTTCATCTAGACCACAGGTGTCAAACATAAGGCCCGGGGGCCAGATCCGGCCCTCCAAGACCTTTAATCTGGCCCTTGACTGATTTTCTACTAAAATATTTTAATTTATATTTTCTATTAAAATATTGGTAATTTTCTGTGTTGTTTATCACAGCAGCGTCTCCAGCGTCTCTATACGTGGCCCCTCCCACCAGAGCAGCACAAATGAAGACTTGTCTCTTTCCAAACGCTCTTAAAGGACGATCGTTTTGACTGTTGACCGTGACACCCTCATCAGAAAAATGTCCAACATGAGAAAAGTGGAGCCGAGTGCAGGATTTTACAAGAAAAATTGACTTATTCCTGTTTACATACAAGTTAATGTTAAAACTTTGTGTTGAAATTGAATTTTTCTTAAAGTTTCAGGTTGTTCATAATATTATAATATTATAATATTATAATAAGAAAGAGTTAATCAATTAAAAAAGATTTCTGTAATAGATTTGTGTTTCTCTGCACAAATATTTGAACTTATTGTTATTTTTGGGGTTTATATGACATGAGTTTTCTGATCCGGCCCCTTTGGGATCAAAGTAGGTTGGATACGGCCCCCGAACCAAAATGAGTTTGACACCCCTGATCTAGACCATATAGACTTTAAAACATCTTAAAACAAAATGTCAAAACAGAATAATCAACTCATCAACATCAATAACACTCTTAATTTGTAAATATTTTTTCTGTAAATAAACCTACAGCCATATTTCAACTTTTATTTGTTTGATAATGCATTTAAAAAGTCTCAATGCACAATAGAAATAATCTTTTGACTTTTGACTCATCTCTGACTACGGAAATAACAGTTCCAACACTAAAGTTAAGCAGGTTCGCAGTCAAATAAATAATAAACAACGACACAACATGCAGGTTTGAGATGGAGGATAGATGCATTTGGAAATTACCACAAAATATTAACTACAGCTTTCAATTCCTATAAACCAACATTTTAATTTCTTCTCTGTACATTCTTAGTTACTGGTAATAAAACTCACTTGTGTTTTTTCACTGTCAGGATCCTCCAGCCAGCTGTAGGGATCTGGTACTTTGTGTCCATGGTAGTTGTCAACCTAAAACACAAAGAGTAATCAAAATATATGCGGGAAAACACCAGCTATACTTGACATCTTGACCCACTGATTTCACACTAATCACATATTTTGACAATCTTGAATACGTCCCTATTTACCCAGGACAGTCCCAGGTTTGACTCATGTGTCCCCTGTCCCAGTGGACTTATCCAAAACCAGTGATTTGTCCCAGTTTTATACAAGAAATGTCCCAGGTGACCCTATTTTTGACCAATCTGATCCCTACCAACAGTAAAGAGAGGCATAAATTGTCACTTGTTGAGATAAAATACAGAAAAGCTGCGTAAAAATGACCAAAACACAAAGAAAATGTGACTACAGTGACTCATACCAACCCCGGTGTGTTTTTGTTTTTGAAAATCTGGTCACCCCAGGCAAAATGTAGAGTGACCAGATTATCAAAATTCAAAACTGGGACACACCGGGGCTGAAATAACTGTTAAATTTCTGTAAATTCTCTGTATTTGGCTAAAGAAATGACCATTTATGCTGCTCTTTACTGTTGGCTGGGATCAGATTAGTCAAAAATTGAGATAATCCTATTTTAGTCCTGGTTTGGATCTGATGTAGTCCTGGTTTACTCTCAGTTTAGTCCTGGTTTAGACCTAGTTTGGACACCTGGGAAATGTCTTGTTTAAAACTTGGACAAATCACTGGTTTTGTATAAATCTGTTGGGACAGGGGACACCGCTCAAAACTGGGACTGTCCCGGGTAAATCAGGACGTCTGGTCACCGTAGCACTTGACCCATTCATGACTTAATCATGACTAACATGTGAGTCAGTATAGCCACAGTTTCTTTGTGTATTGGTAATGCCTCTCTTTACTGGAGGTGTGCAAAAATATTGAGATATCGATGTATCGTTTTGTTTACTTTAAGGAGCTAATCACAACACTAAATGAAATATGTCGTGATAATATTGTACACAGAGATTTGGATAATGGTACATCCCTAATCGTGAGCCTCCCCAACATATCATGAGCTTTTCTACGATATCTGTGATCCTAAAAGTCTTTGTTAAACCACTTCTTGTGCAAAGTTCATATGAAACTCAAACATTTTAATCATCAAAACGGTGAAAATGTCAAATGTGTCGCATAAATGAGTTTCCTTCCTCTGAACAAGCAACTTAACTGTAGCTCTGTAACAAAATGATTTAGTAAAATATACCAAAAAATACTCTTGACGATATATCGATACTGTATCATCACATTAAAGGATGCGATATTTCGATATTTCTGCACACCTCTTAATCAGATATATCGAAATATCAATATACTGTATCGGTTAATGTGACGACGCAGTATCAATATCGTGGGCTGCTGTATCGATATATCGACGGTTCAATAAGAAATAAAGGTTAAATGATGTCTGTGACACTAAAAGTCTTTGTTAAACCACTTCTTGTGCAAAGTTCATATAAAACACAAACATTTTAATCCTCAAAACAGTGAAAATGTCAAATGTGTCGCATAAATGAGTTTCCTTCCTCTGAACAAACAACTAAACTGTAGCGCTGTAACAAAATAATTTAGTAAAATACACCAAAAAATACTCTTGACGATATATCGACACTGTATCATCACATTAAAGGATGCGATATAGCGATATTTCTGCACACCTCTTAATCAGATATATCGAAATATCAATATATAAATAAAGGCTAAATCATGTCTGTGACACTAAAAGTCTTTGTTAAACCACTTCTTGTGCAAAGTTCATATAAAACACAAACATTTTAATCCTCAAAACAGTGAAAATGTCAAATGTGTCGCATAAATGAGTTTCCTTCCTCTGAACAAGGAAAAAAACTGTAGCTCTGTAACAAAATAATTCAGTAAAATACACCAAAAAATACTCTTGACGATATATCGACACTGTATCATCACATTAAGCGATACGATATGGCGATATAACGATATTTCGATATTTTTGCACACCTCCTTAATGGGATTGGTCAAAAATAGTGGCATTTCATGGACAAATTAGAGGTTTTGGATAAATCTGCAGGGACAGGGGACACGGGACTGAAAACTGGGACTGTCCCGGGGTAAATCAAGACGTGTGGTCACTTTAGGCAAATGTCAACAAAAGCGTCTGACAGCGCTAACGTGCAGCTAACTAGCCGGGTAACAAAGCAGCCCGCGGGAATGAATGAAGCGCCGTGACGAAGCAGCGGCCGACGCGCCAGCCCCGCGCCACTCACCACGGCCTCGTCGCGGAAAGCCAGCGGGTACTGGAAGGACATGTTGGCGGAGAGCGTTCGGGACAGACGGGCGCGCAGGAAGCGGGACGGAGGTGCGGAGACGAGCCTGTGGAGCCTGTGGAACCCGAGAAACATCGACGCCGGGCGCAGGACGATCGGGAGCGGATGCGAGGAGACGACGAGCGCGCGCAAGACAACAACAAGAGCGGTGTCCTGTCGATGTGTGTTTACCGCCCTCTAGTGTCGGGGCGAGACGAGTCCCCGTGTACCCGGGACAGGCCCAGTTAAGAGTCCTGTGTCCCCAGTGTTGGGAAGGTGACTTTTAAAACATATTCCCCTACAGATTACAGATTACATACACCAAAATGTAGTTTGTAACGTAATCCATTAAATTACTTAAAGTGAGTAACGTAATCTGAATACTTTGGATTACTTGGTTTGTTGTAGAGAAAACAAAGACGAGGATATTTGTAACATAAGATGTTTTATCTGCTAAAAGAAAATAAAAAGCCCAGACTTTACTGAACCAAATAAAAAATATTATTGATAGAAGAAGAGGAGACACGGTTCACGCTGCATGATTTAGTCCTGTTAAATCCTGGTTTAGTCCTGGTTTAGATCTAGTTTAAGCCTGGTTTTAGTCCTGTTTTAGTCCTGGTTTAGTCCTAGTTTAGACCTGGTTTTAGTCCGGGTTTCATCCTGGTTTAGACCTGGTTTAGTCCTGGTTTAGATCTGGTTTAGTCCTGGTTTAGATCTAGTTTAGACCTGGTTTAGATCTAGTTTAGACCTGGTTTAGATCTAGTTTAGTCCTGGTTTAGATCTAGTTTAGTCCTGGTTTAGATCTAGTTTAGACCTGGTTTTAGTCCTGGTTTAGATCTAGTTTAGACGTGGTTTTAGTCCTGGTTTAGATCTAGTTTAGACCTGGTTTAGATCTAGTTTAGACCTGGTTTAATCCTGGTTTAGATCTAGTTTAGACCTGGTTTTAGTCCTGGTTTAGATCTAGTTTAGACGTGGTTTTAGTCCTGGTTTAGATCTAGTTTAGACCTGGTTTAGATCTAGTTTAGACCAGGTTTAGATCTGGTTTTAGACCTGGTTTGGGCCTGGTTTAGACCTGGATTTAGTCCTGGTTTAGTCCCGGTTTATTCCCGGTTTAATCCTGATTTATTCCTGGTTTAGACCTGGTTTAGTCCTGGTTTAGTCCTAGTTTAGACCTGGTTTAGTCCTGGATTTAGTCCTGGTTTAGTCCTGGTTTAGACCAGGTTTAGACCTAGTTTAGACCTGGTTCTAGACCTGGTTTAGACCAGGGTTAGACCTGGTTTGGACCTGGTTTTAGACCTGGTTTAGTGTCCGGCAATGAGTGGAATTACCAAACAAAACAAAACAGCCCAAAATGTGAAAACAGGAAAATACCTCCATGTAATCCATTTATTTCAACAAAGTAACTGTAATCCGATTACCAATCATTGAAACAGTAACTGTAACTGAATACAGTTACTCATAATTTGTACTCTGATTACATAACTCCAGTACATGTAATCTGTTACTCCCCAACACTGCGTGTCCCCTGTCCCAACAGATTTATACAAAAACAGCAATTTGTCCCAGTTTTATAGAAGAAATGTCCCAGGTGTCCCTGTTTTTCACCAATCTGATAAACACCAACAGTAAAGAGAGAATATATTGTCACTTGTTTAGTTAAAATGCAGAACTGTGCTTGAAAATGATCATTAGGGCAAAAAAAATGCACCAAAAGAAGTCCCTCGACTCATAATGAGTTTCCTTCGCAGGGTATCTGGGCGCTCCCTTAGAGACAGGGTGAGGAGCTCAGTCACACGGGAGGAACCCAGAGTAGAGAGGAGCCAGTTGAGACTCGGGCGTCTGTTCCGGATGCCTCCTGGGCGCCTCCCTCTGGAGGTGTTCCGGGCATGTCCCACCGAGAGGAGGTCCCGGGGAAGACCCAGGACACACTGGAGGGACTATGTCTCTGGGCTGAGCTGGGACACCTCGAGGTTCCCCCGGAGGAGCTGGAGGAAGTGTCTGGGGTGGAGGAAGTCTGAGAGTCCCTGCTCAGACTGCTGCCCCCGTGACCCGGCCCCGGATAAGTGGAAGAAAATGGATGGATGGATGGAAGTCCCTCTGATTATATACCAGCCCACAAGTGAGTCGAGAAGGGACAGTTTTATTTATATGAACCGTCTCAACCATAGACTGTGTGAACAAATGGACATATGCTGCCTTCATGTGGTGTGGGAAAGATGATCCTTTCCACTTGTGAGGTAGAAATTACAGTGTGTTTTTTTCAAGTGCTTTTGTTGTCGTAGTGAAGTGAAACATGGGGGATCCTGACCTGTTGACCTGTTAAATCATTTTTTTAAATACCTTGTTACTTATTTTATTTATTTTAATAATAAGTGTAAATGGCAATGTTATTAAAATTATGTATGTCACACATGGATCTAACTAACAGCAGCAGAGAACGTTTAACAGAATGCAGTGGTTAGGGTTTAGGGTTTAGGATGAGGTAGTGTTTAACATTCACAACACTTTCGTTGCTCTCAGCCATGTTGAAAGGTCAAAGTTTATCTCATCTCCTCATGGAAGAGATTCCTGCTGCCTGGAGCCTCACAGAGAAAAAGGAAAAGTAGAGTGCAATTTTTTATGCAGGATCTTGAATATAATGATTGTAACTGTGTCCACGCTGTCATAGGCAGGTGATGTGCACTGATGTCGCAGTAATGCAGAGTGTCCACTAGAGGGCCCCCCAGTACCACCGCTCTCTGCCTTATGCACGTGTACGACAGAGCTCAGACCACTGTGGTACTCTGCTGTGATACTCTACTGTGATACTCTACTGTAGTACTCTGCTGTAGTACTGTGCTGTAAGACTCTGCTGTAGTACTGTGCTGTGGTACTTTGCTGTGGCACTCTGTTGTAGTACTCTGCTATAAGACTCTGCTGTAGTACTGTGCTGTGGTACTCTACTGTAGTACTCTGCTGTAAGACTCTGCTGTAGTACTCTGCTGTAGTACTCTGCTGTGGTACTCTCTGCTGTAAGACTCTGCTGTAGTACTGTGCTGTGGTACTGTGCTGTGGTACTCTGCTGTAGTACTCTGCTTCACTACTCTGCTGTGGTACTCTGCTGAGGTACTCTGCTGTAGTACTCTGCTTCACTACTCTGCTGTAGTACTGTGCTGTGGTACTCTGCTGTAGTACTGTGCTGTGGTACTCTGCTGTAGTACTCTGCTTCACTACTCTACTGTAGTACTCTGCTGTGGTACTCTGCTGTAGTACTCTGCTTCACTACTCTGCTGTAGTACTGTGCTGTGGTACTCTGCTGTGGTACTCTGCTGTAGTACTCTGCTTCACTACTCTGCTGTGGTACTCTGCTGTAGTACTCTGTTGTAGTACTCTGCTGTAGTACTCTACTGTAGTATTCTGCGGTAGGACTCTACTGTAGTACTCTGTTGTAGTACTCTGCTGTGGTACTCTGCTGTAGTACTGTAGTACTCTGTTCTGTTGTAGTACTCTGCTGTGGTACTCTGCTGTAGTACTGTAGTACTCTGTTCTGTTGTAGTACTCTGTTGTAGTACTCTGTTCTGTTGTGGTACTCTGCTGTAGTACTGTAGTACTCTGTTCTGTTGTAGTACTCTGCTGTGGTACTCTGCTGTAGTACTGTAGTACTCTGTTCTGTTGTAGTACTCTGTTCTGTTGTAGTACTCTGCTGTAGTACTCTGTTCTGTTGTAGTACTCTGTTGTAGTACTCTGTTCTGTTGTAGTACTCTGCTGTAGTACTGTAGTACTCTGTTCTGTTGTAGTACTCAGACAAACTGCTGTCGCCTGTGAAGTAATAAAACACATTAAAGACTCTGTACCTCATGTACCTTGTGCTTTCTGATTTCATGAGTGTTTTTCACATTTTCACAGCTCAGGGCCCAGACCAGAGTTCTGATAGAGAAATATACATATGTATATATATATATATATATATATATATATATATATATATATATATATATATATATATATATATATATATATATATATACATTTACAGATATTCAAACGCAGATGTGACCTTTTTATATGCAGATGATAAATGTAAAGATGCTTGTATGTGGGTGTAGGTTTTGAAAATGTACTTACAGGCTTTTTTCAACTCCACATTCAACTCCACAGTCGTTTAGTTTTTTGTGTTTGAGATGCTTTCGGACACTGGTAACAGAACCTGACACACAAGTGTAGTGAGCACAAGGACGCGGCGTCTGCTGCACTGGAGCTCGACAGCGAAGAGACGATCTGCAGAGACCTGAGCTTTAACCTGCAGATGGACACACAAGGACTAAAAACTAAACTTTCATGGACCGGCGGCGTAGGAGGCGTGGGGCTCGCGGCGCACGGGAGGAAACGTGGTCACACAGCATGGTTTAGTCCTGGTTAAATCCTGGTTTAGATCTGGTTTAGTCCTGGTTAAATCCTGGTTTAGATCTGGTTTAGTCCTGGTTAAATCCTGGTTTAGATCTGGTTTAGTCCTGGTTAAATCCTGGTTTAGATCTGGTTTAGTCCTGGTTAAATCCTGGTTTAGTCCTGGTTTTAATCCTGTTTTAGACCTGTTTTAGTCTTGGTTTAGACCTGGTTTTAGTCCTAATTTTAATCCTGATTTTAGCCCTGGTTTAGTCCTGTTTTAGACTTGGTTTAGTCCTCGTTTTAGTCCTGATTTTAGCCCTAGATTAGTCTTGTTTTAGACTTGGTTTAGACCTGGTTTAGACCTGGTTTAATCCTGGTTTAGACCTGATTTCAATGTGGTTTCAAAGTGGTTTAGACTTGGTCTTAGTCCTGATTTTAATCCTGTTTTAGACCTGTTTTAGTCCTGGTTTAGACCTGGTTTAGTCCTGGTTTTAGTCCTGATTTTAGCCCTGTTTTAGTCCTGTTTTAGACCTGTTTTAGACCTGGTTTAGTCCTGGTTTTAGTCCTGATTTTAGCCCTGTTTTAGTCCTGTTTTAGACCTGTTTTAGACCTGGTTTAGTCCTGGTTTAGACAGGGTTTCGATGTGGTTTCGACCTGATTTTAGTCCTGGTTTAGACCTAGTTTATTCCTGGTTTATTCCTGGTTTAGTCCTGTTTAGACCTGGTTTAGTCCTGTTTAGACCTGGTTTTAGTC